GGAAACGAAAAGGGAAAGGAAAGGAAAAGGACTGGCAATGGATGTTTCAAAATCTTGGAGATCCGAAAAATAGTGCGAAAACGGCGGGAACATCGTAATTCAGCGGCTTACAGCTTTGTTGGCCGTCAATTGGGGTCAACATGTAAACCGCCTATTTTTGGACCCCACATGGGAGATACCTATTTGGACGAAAGTCACACGACTGACATGATCTTACCAAAGTATTTGGGTCTTGTATGGTGTTGTCCTCAATATTTTTTTGGGAAAAAAAAGCACAATCCAAAATGAAGCGCATTCGGATTTTTGAGACATCGCAATAAACCAACTCCGACGGGATGGGAACTGCCCAACCGCCTGGAGGAACTCGAAGAAGCGCAGGGCCCGCAGGGACTAGGCCCTCGAACATCGCGAACGCGAACCGTGGAGTTTTGTGGGGGGCTGATTTTCCAGAGAATAGGGGATAAACCATCAAGCCGACTGGACAATTAGCCCTCAAGGGACATATCATGAACATAGAATAGGGGAGCAATAGAATATTACTAAAACACTACTCAAGTTAAAATAGAATAGGGGATTAACCTGGATCAAAAATCAAAACATAAAACAGGAATTCGTAATCCATCCATGTGGTATGAACACGGAAACTAACCACAGTATTCGCAGTATTGACTGTGGTGGCATGATACGACATATGATATATATAATATTGATATATGGTATATGGTATCGGTATATGATATATGATATATATGGTATATGGTATATGATATAATATATACTATATAGGATATATTATATGACATGATATTATATGATATGCTATGACCATCAAGATGGAGGTTTAGGATGATTCAACCATGAAATTTTGGGATAACAGTCAGAAAAAAAATGGTGGGTCATCCGGGATGCCAAATTACCATCTGGTTATTTAACACAGCCATGGTATAGATGGCCCATAGAAATAGATGACTTTCCTATTAAAACTCCTCCATTTATGGTTGGGATTTTCCATGGCGAACTGTTAAATAACCAGAGGGTATGAATTGTGGAGATATGATGACATATGCACCCCTTTTCTTGTTGATATTACATGATATTACCCCCCATATCAGAGTTTGAAGGGAAATCCTCAACAACAACGCCAAGAACGATAAGAGTTTTTGTTTCTTTTGATTTTGATCAACTGTTTGGCCACTGGACTTCCAATATATGGATGCAACCAGCCTGAACCCCCTGCAATCTTTGCAGGATATGGGTTGATCTGTTGCTAAAAGTTGGCAACATTGTGTGAAGTCATGTGGTGTTGGTCCAGGCATCTTCCACCAAGAACACCAGAAAAATCTAGTTGTGCATTGCGTTTGGCTATAACATGCATTCTGGCTGTACACAATGTCTGCATAATCCATCATAATCCTATATTTGAAACAAAGGATTTGTCTGAAAATAAGGTACCCCTAAGCACCCCAAAAATTTATGGTTGATCAACGTTGATCATCATGTTCCCATTGAAGCGGCCATGTTGGGAGTACACCCCATTCAAATTCAAATATCATATCAAGTTGGTATATATCCCAGTATATCCCAATATATTCCACTAAATCCATCTGTATATCAATCCATTAAACCCTATGGTTAATCCGCAACAAACAAATCATATTAAGTTGGTGATATATCCCATTAAATCAACACATAATCCTCCATGAACTCCCACATTGCACCAACCTGTTGAGGAATCACTCTGCCTGTCGTCACCGGCGTGGAGATCTTTTCGGACACGCCGCCCACGCGCGGAGCTTCTGCAGGCCGCGCTTCGCGGGGGTCCGCCTGGTGCGTTTTGGTTGATTGAAATAAGACATGAGTTGCTTCAAAAAGCTTGGGAAAAGCTATCAAATCCTGCAGGAATAAGAATGACAGAGTTTTGAGGGTAAATTGATGTTAACATGATGAAGCAGCGAATTTAGAAGGACCCTGTTGAGTTTTCATAGGACAACATGCCAAGTTGCGGGATTTCAGGAGTAAACTTGGAAGTCAACTGGGACCATCATCAATGCGCAGGTAATAGTTGATCATGGAACAACCAGCTAATAGTTGATAAATGTTGATAATAGAGGGATCTTTGTTCCAGAACATCAACTATTAGCTGGTTGTCAACCATCCCATGTTTGTAGCCAAGAATTTGCTAATAGTTGAAATGGAAAAAAGATACGTCTGAAACCATCAACCAGCCAAACGTTTGGAACAACGGGGACCCACCAATGTTGGGGATCTTCATTTTGGAGCGTCCTAAATTTGGCAACGGGCCACAGTCCTAAATTTGGAGGAAACATCTTCTGGTTGGAGCAAACCATGTTTCTCGTTCAATTGATCTCAATTGGTTTACATGTTCATTGCATCTGGTCTAACAGTTCTGCTGTAGGAAACGACATGGAAACATCCGCATCTGGTCCATTTGACTGGCGGTGCTAAACCCATCACCAACGTGCATCGGACATGGAACCCCAGGGCTGAAAAAACCACCTCCGATTTGCGTTTCAAAAACTGCGAACCACACCGGCTCTGTCATCAGGCTAGTCTGTACTTTTCTTTCTCGGAATGTTCTCCCGGCTTTGCTGATGACCTGCGCAGCCTTGAAGATCTCATGGTCCTCTAAAGAAACCAATCCAGCGGCTCTTCACCGGAAGATCGCTATTTTGTGCTGCACGAGGCAAATACGTAGGAGCTTTCGGTTGGAGTTTCGCCATTTTATCCAAGTTTAACAGAGCTCTGGATGAACCTACTTCAGATGTTTCAGATTAAGATTCAGGATTTCAGGATAGCCTTGAGGCCAAGGAAATTCACTCACCATTTACAGTGCCAGCAAGATCATCAGGAGGAACATGAAGAATTCGAAGAATTGCTTGACAGTATGTGGTTCACCCTCCTCGCAGCGGGGTTTACACACCCAAAATGAATAGATTATTCATGATTATTCTACAATCTACTCAATCTACCCCCAAAAAACAGCATCAACATGCGTCAACTTTTACCAGTCCCAAAAATTATCTGAACACAGGGTTTTTATCAAGGCTTCCTTGAAGAAATCACCAGGGACATCTGGAATTTCCCCCCATTCTTCGATCATCCAGCCCCCACCTGTGCGGACCTGAGGCTCGTGGCGAAGGGTCGTTGCGGACGGTCGGACGGTCTCTTTTTGTTTCACAAGAACTGGGAAATGTTTGATCTGAGTTTTCCGATCGTCTTCACCCGTTCCATGATTTTGGAGATTGGCAAGTTTCGAAGAATTTGGCTAAGTTTCCAGAATTTTGTTGTTGTTAGTCTTAAACATAGTCTATCTTTTGGGGCACCCCGAAAGAAATCCAAGGACTTTAGAGCATCTCCATAGCCAGACTTGGGTTGGTCTGACATTGATGTTTTTCTTGTTTTTTTGCCTGGAAAAAATCGCTGCATGGCCAAACACACCCACATTCCATATTGCTTTTTTCGTTAGCCTATGTTTTCCTCCTGTTTTCCCCATGATGTTGTTGGTGATGCCCTGGCTTTTGATGTTTACATCCCATTGATCAATCTACATAGCCATCATTTATAAACCATCCCCCATATTACCAGAAATTGGTGGTAAATGGGTATGTCTGGAAATGGGGTATACCTCCAATTATAGCCATTTATTAGGGATAATGATCATTAACCATGGGTACACTATTTTCAGACAAACCCAAATATCATCCTCAAATGGCAGGTTTATGGCATTGGCTTTACCGCATTAGATGACCCTTTGAAATCGCAGCAAACCTGATGGACCTGTCCCATCAACGAGGCCGCCCGACGTGCAGCCGCTCTGGAGAACAGACTGAGCGCCGCGCTTGGCGCGCCACGGGAGGATGATGATGATGGTGATAGTACTAATATGGACTAATACTACTCTGAAGTAGTAGGATTTTTTGTGATGGTGATGGCTGTGTAATTATGGTAATAGGAATCTATGAAAACATATTATATGGATAGTAGAACTAATTAGTGAACTAGTGATTTTGAGAATGTTCAGCCTATTTCAGCCTTCCCAAACAAGCCCAGAAATCCTTGCTTCCGCAAGCGCTAAGTGGCATCCAGTCTCAAGTAGCTGGTGCATGCGGTCAAACTTCGGCATCGAAATCCAACCCTCAAAATTTCTGATATCACCAAGCACCGATTGATTGCTTATCTCACCAGGCCGAAACCCGAAATGGATATATATATATATATATTATATAAACAACCAATTTATCCATTTGTGGCAAATTATTAAAAAAATAAAAACACTCATGATCGGGTTTACCATGGATTGCTACATATGCATATTCCGTATCATCCATTTTTAGTGTCCCGTACCTACACGTCAATTATTTTGGAAGTAAATGCAGGGAAATAGCATACACTGTGGTAAATCGTTGTAAATACGAGTAGAATACGCCCTTTCAAAACCCACAGGGTAGCCAATCACAGCTCTTCTTTTTCCTTCTGACACTCTCCCACACGAGCGGGAAGCCCGGTCTTGTGCATGGGCGAACCAAAAGGATCAAAACTTGGGAGGTGTCCAGGTACTGAAATCAGACCAATGTCAAATTCAATGGATTGGTTTCAGGGAAAATTTTAACCGGAAACCATAGATTTTCCCATAAAATATGGCGCTTTCCGCTTTCAATTTTCCCTTAATCCAATGTCAAATCTTCAAATTTGACCGAAATTCAGCATCTGGGGATGGGTCAAAATTTCGATAGCGATGGACTCGCCAAAAATTGTCATTTCATGTCATTTCTATAGATTCAAAACCGTTCATCTTGGGTGATAAGTTTGACCCATACCCGCAAGCCAACGGAACGTGTTTTTTTCTCGATTTTAATCGTGTTTTTTGTCAGAATCACAGCATTCACTAAAGTCAACACCACACCATCTGATATTCAAATGACCACGCTTGGGGGTGCAGTTCGACAATTTGTGATGATTAGGTTGTAATCCTAAAAAAAGCGGTCAATCAGGGGACCCCATGGATCCAAAACCCGTTGCTGCATCCCCTCAGATTTTCAAATGACCATGGCCCATGGCTGTTCCATCCGAAAAGTGAAATCATAGCTTGACTTTGCCGTGGCTCGTGGCCTCACAGCTTTGCCTTCGCTTTCTCCGCCTTGCCTCGCAACGCAAGGCGACCAAGCCGCAACCCGTCGAGGTTTCATGGCGACACTCCCTGCAGTGACATGGATTTTAGATGCTTAAAAAATGGCACAGCTCGGCTTGAAACACATAGTGATTGATTAGATTTGAACCTTTTTTGCTGATAAATGCAAATGTCAATCATTCAGGTCGCGTTTTAGCAACCTGTTTGCTACTTGTTGGTTGAGAATGAAGTCTGGTACAGTACTCATCTGGAATTGAAGACGAGCACATTGAACTAGTCATGAAAAAATACCCACCGTCATGATCTTTCATGACACATGTCAGCCTAGAGGGGTCTGAACAGCTTGAAGTTTTAGATCTTCAATATTGAATTGTCGTACTTTAGCCTCAAAGATCAATAATTTTTAAGAGTCTTATTTAATAGAATTGTCCGAGGGGAAACTGGCAGGAGACACCTTAATATATTATACTCACATTTCGGGATAGAACCTCGGGTACGGGGTATAGCAGCCTCAAGTCCGGTTGTTTAAAACATCTAAAACATCATTTTCCGGCTGTATATGACCGTAATTTTGGGGTATCCATCCATTGGGGACAACTTCAAATCCATCCAATTCATTGGTTACATGTCTCCTCTGATATTTGTGGACGGTTCATACAGGATGGTGCCCCCCAGTTATAAGTTGGTTTATAAACCCCATTAACTAGTTCGTTATATCTGCCATAAACCATAGGTATGGGAGTTATAAACCAACTTATCTAACTATGGGGCACCACCTTGTAGCTATTTTCGTTACCATCCCAAGCTGTCTCGAAAAAACCAAAAAACTGAAGGATTTTGCCAAAAGGATCCACATCAAGTCTTGCATCGTTCTGAAAGCCTCGAATGGCAGGCGAAAACTTCTTCAGGGCGGCGTGAGCTTCTTCGAAACCAGGGAGCTCTTCGCAGGCGTTCAACCTCTGGGATCAGGACTTTTGATGACTGCTAAAGGGGCCCAAAATATACCAGTTACCCTCTGGTAAACTGTCACATAACTATGGAAAATCACAATTTTCAATGGGAAAACTCACTATAAATGATCATTTTCAATAGCAATTTTATTTTACCAGAGGGTATAAGTACAAACAAAACCCCATATTTGGAATGCATAATCCCAGAGAAATAACAAGTTATAACCATTTATAATTGGTCAACGGCCATAACTGTGGTGACTGGTCAACAAAAATCTCGATGGGCTCTTTGCAGGCGTGAAACATCCTAACGGGAAACGTTGGTCAATCCTCTGCCTCTGGTAATGGTGGCTGGAAAATCCCTGCAAAAAGCTGCGAAAATCTTCTACAAACAGGGGATTTCCAGTTAGCCACGTTTGATTTCTGGACGATAAATCCAATAATCAATATCAATGTAGGAGAAGAATGTTGCGGAATGGTAGATTTGTTGGTTTCAAATGGTTTTACCACATTAATCGCAGCGTTTTTTGGAGAATGACTTAATGACTGGATGATTCTGGCAAAGTCCAACGAAAGGATCGTGACATGTTTTGGATCCGTGTAACAGAGTCCCTGATTGGGATATCGTTTTCATTTTTTTAACGGGGATGAGGAGTCCCTCCTATAAACTGTAGAGAATCCCATCATTATATATATATATATACACATACCAGTATTTAATATACCAACAATATATATATATATATATATACATATTTAATATATCGATATATCAATATCAATATATATATAGTTTTAAAAAAGAGTTTCACCTAAGGTTTCTAACCACTTCATGATGGGGACAATCCTCCAAGTGTTGACTGGTGAAGGTGGGGATGATAGGTAGGCAAAACAGGAGCTAGTTGATATTGAGGGGCGCCTTTTGTTACCCATAGGATCCATGGTGCTGGTATATATGCTAACATTGGGGGTATGGTGATGGTAAATGTTACCATATATGGCAGCACCATGGATCCTATGGGTAATGAATTCAGAAGTCGTTAAACCACCAATCATATCCCCAGGCTTAAGTGATATTATACCTGTATGGGGTAATCACCAGCTATATAGAATGTAGCAGACCTTGACATCACCAATCGGGGTGTAACCCCTTATAAGGCAGTTATATGTATAAGTGCATTCCCCACTTTGTAGATCAAATCCTGTTGTTGGATATTTGAAAACTGCCAGCAAGAAATATCACATGTTCCGCAACAGAGTGGAGGACACACCATGTTTTACTCAGAGTGCATGGTGAACATAGAGATTTCCCCCAAGCAAAATCAAAAAAACTATGGATCTTCACCAACCACTGTGGAGATTCATCCAATCAACATGATAACTTCATCCAATCAAACATGGCAATTTGGTGACAAAAACAAACCTGGTGACCTTTCAACCCAAAAAAACGTTGCTGTAGCAGGGTCTTCATCCCTCCATATTCAATATGGGAACAGCATAGACTTAGACCAGGTTGATGAGGTGAGGTTCTTTGTTTTGAAGCCTCCAAGCAGGCTGATACCCTCTGGTAATTCAACATAGCTATGGAAAATGGTCCATTTATAGATGGTTTACCTTTTAAAAATTGTGATTTTCTATAGCTATGTTAAATTACCAGAGGGTAAATCTTGATCGTTTTCTATCCAAGCGTCCATTGCATCAGCTTTGGATAGCCCTTCAGATCGATTCCATTCAATTCGAAGAGTCCTGCCGGGTCAGCTTTCCAGACCCCAAAAAACTGAGACCTCCAGAAACGTTCAATGTTAAACACCGTTTACCATCCAGGAAACTAACAGTTTGCGAACTGGAAAATGGCCTATTTCTAGTTGAGTTACCTATTCAACATGGTGATTTTCCATAGCAAAGTGTTAGTTTACCAGGCCGGGTAAGAGTTTGATGCATCGCACCACAAACATAAAAGATGAGGTTTGGCTGGTGACAGTCCATGAAGCTTCGCACATGAACCACTTAAATGGTAGCATCATGTAGCTGCATCCCTCCCGGACAGAATGAGATTATCCTCTGTGTATCCTTTACCCTCTGGTAAACTAACATAACTATGGAAAATCACCATTGTTAATGAGAAAATCCACTATAAATGGCAATTTTCCATAGCAAACTGTTGGTTTACCAGGCCGGGTAATGCATGTCATCATAGTTTGAGTCGTATTACAGTGTTCAAAATGCTGAGAGCATCTTAATTGAGATAGAGATACCAGCATTTTCCGGTTGGTTCAACCCATCTTTGCCATGCCAATTCTTGGAAGTCAATTGGGATCATATCAACTACCCTCTGGTAAACTAACATAGCTATGGAAAATGGGCGATTTATAGTTGGTTTACCTATACAACATGGTGATTTTCCATAGCTAGGGAACCTGAGGTTTTTGTCAGATGGAATGGGATGTTCCCTTAGTTGTCTTAATTTTTCAGGCCCAAAACATGGAACCACCCGTTTCCACTGAGATCTTCACTGTCGGCCTGTGAACTTATCCAAGCACTGAGCCACTTCGCAGTAGCCTTGGGCCAGTGGCGGCCTTTGGGGGAAAACCTGGTGATCCAACTGACATAAACCCTGGCAAAGAAAGGTGGAAGACTCTGAAATCCTCTGAAATGCATTGTTTTTTGCACATTTGGGGCATGGCAATTATGAAAGTCTAAAGCACCAAACAATGCTTCAACCACAAACGATGATGTTCAGATATGTTGAGGCAGCAACAATGATGATTCAACTATCCTTGATTTATCTTCCAGGCTGATAGTGAGTTTAAAAGGACGATCATCCACCGATTTAAGGGATTCTTCATTGCCCGGACGAACAGTGTTGAAGCCAGAGACGTTCTCGTTCTTGCAAAGAACAAGCACACGTTTTCTTTCTTGTTCTGAGACATCATCAACTATTGCGGATATTGCATCATATTGCTATCAAAATGTATCAAACTAGCACACGCACACACCTACAAACATGACAAAACATTAGCCAGGTAGCAAGACAAATCCGCCACAGTTGGACTTGTACCACAGAGCCACGGGCTCTCGTTCAGCCATCGCTCAAGGGATCGCAAGGTGCTCAAAATTTCCTCAGGGCTGACGACGTGGCTTCCCTTTTAACAAGTGACCCGTGTCTTTTTCCATGAATTTGGGGTGCACCAATTTAGGAAACCTTTACTTCGTGAATTTCCAGAGGGAGTACCTGAGTACCTTCCAAGGGGTACCATCTGTACTTGCAATTATTTCAAATCCAGATTTCTCGATGGTCGCATACAAATCCCACCACCTATCTCACTAGCAACTACTAGCAACCAAGGAAAACAGGTTTGTCTTTCCGATTGCATGTCCCATTGCATCCACTCGTTTATCATCATTTTCCATTATAGTGTCCTATGGAAAGCCATAGCCATCTGATCATCTGGAGCTATACCCTCTGGTAAACTAACATAACTATGGAAAATCACCATTTTTAATGGGTATATCAACCTATAAATGGCCATATTCAATAGCTATTTTGACATAACCAGAGGGTACCCCATTTTCCACAACATCTGCTGCGATAAATCGCAGCCACGGCACCTTGGACCACTGCTTGGTCTGTTCTGCGGAAATCCTCGGTTTGAACATGGTCCATCCCAGAGTGTGTCTCGTCCATGTCAGAGCATACCCCCAGAAAGATAGAAATGGCTAAGCTAGGTTAAGTTTATATATATATATATATGTATATATGCCACAATTTTGCTAGTAGCTACTTTTCTGCTTTCTTGGGGGTTGCCTTTTGACCATCTGGATTTGGAGACCAGACAAACATTTGCCTCTTTTCGCGACCTGAGAAGTTTGGACGGGGGGGGCCAATGTTTTATTGTACCTCATAGCAATCATGGCAATCATAGGCTGTGATGAGCTTGAACGTGTTATGAGTAGTTTCATTATATCTCTCATGGCAAATCTTAGAGTCCCTGCCAAAAAACTCCAAGGTTTTGCTTGTTCGTAATATATGCATGTGCATATATATATATACATAATATGTATATATACACATAATATTAATATGTATATATATATATATATATCAGAATACATCCATCTGTATATATATATATATATATTTATATTAGAATTCTATATATATATATCAGAAATAATATAATAGAATATATCAAATATGTATCCACCATATATAAACCTAAAAAAAGATAAAGTACGTCCTAAAGTAGCCATCCAAACGTTACTCCGTATCTCAGGCCCCCGAAGTTGCGAAATCTCCAAGGGACTTCAGATCCGGCCGCATCACTGGCGCAAAGAGAGCCATGGTGATGCGCCGGGTATTCTGATGATGCCAATTCCTGGGTGAAAACAGCGGCCCTGAGGGCCCTGGTTTAGGCCAGGTAAATTGATTTGATGTGATTTAAAAAAGTAACTTGGATTGACTTGGCCAACTAGGATCTATAGATATCTATAGTATTTCTATAGTGTAGAGTCAAGTATAGTGAGTGGATCTATAATTAGCAAAAGATGGGGTTATGGGTTGTAATGGGTTATAGAACAATTTACACCTCGGGGGTCTACCTAAATAACAGCCAGGAAAGTCAGTAGTGTGTCTACTGGGGGCCTTTCCACATGTGGGTACAATCAAGTCAATTGCAAATATTGTATCAGAATGTATCAGAAATCAGTCATACATATAGTATATAGTCATACTGTGGATGGACAAGCCATTCTGCACCAATTGGTAACCATTGGTAACTATTGGTAACTATTGGTAACTATGAACTGCATTGAAACATTATAAATAGTGGGATTCCATGGGATGTTTACCATCTACCAACTGGTGATTCGGATTTCGCAACCACAGTACGATCCCATAGCTGCACCCTGACACCAACCAGCCCCAAGAGTCATGTACTGGTGGATTCTAGCGCGCGTCTTGGCATCGCTGGGATAGAGTTTCCAGTTGAACCTGGAAGCGCTGGAGAAACAACTGCCTTTTTTCCAAGCGAGAAACTATGGATTTCCACCAGTAAACCAACATAGTCATGGAAATGTCGTTAATGTGGATCATATGATCATTTCGGAACGGGAAAACCATGGATTTCCACAGCTTCTTCATGATTTTTCCATGGTTTACCAGAGGGTATATGGTGTCTGTAGTCAGGTTGAAGGCATATTTGGCATGGCATCATTTGCCAAGGACCCTCACAAAACAAAGGACGGGATCTTCTGGATCTACTCCAAACTCATCGATGGACACGGCCATATTGGAGTTCCAGCCCCATCGATTTGAGTTTCTGCTGGGTGTGAAGTAATGCCATAAATCAATAATAACTGTCCCCAATATTAATTATATATTATATGATAAATCAATAATCAATAATATTGTTATCAATAACCATAATTTATCAATAACCATCATTTATCCCCAATATCACCATAAACAATATCATACGTCCATAGATGGGTTGAAGTAAAAATAATGCCCTTGGGTCCAATAGGTTTATGGCGATTTTTCGCCCAGCAACTTATCCCCAAGGTATACCATGATGGCATGGCTCTCGTTCAGAATGAAGCCATCATCATCCATACGAGGAACAGCTGGGATCACACCTGACGCAGAGCGGGCGTCGCGGCTTGGAATGTCTTGTAGGGTGCTGCGATCACACCCGCTGATAGTGGTTAAATGGATGTGGGTCAAAATGGAAGACCTAGGGGACCACAGATGTTAGTCTAGTTTAGTATTAACCATCCAATTATTGGGGTACCTAATTTTGACCCATACCCAAATATGGTTCAATGGGGTACAAAGAGGTAAAAGGACCCCCTTTCCACCCCTCGTGACAATCATTTGTGTGTAGGTTGGAGCACACTGTTGATAGTGGTTTGGGTCAGTGAGCCACAGCCCCCCAAAATAGGTACGGTACGACCAACAAATTGCTGCTGCTTACGTAGTGAGTTCAGCCTATCCGCCCCGCTGCAAAAAAGGAACATGTCATGTCCCTCAATTTGCGACTCTAGGGGAGGAGACTCAGAAATGTTTGAAACGTTAGAAAACCATCATTCAGCGACGGGTTTAATCAGAGTGGCTACCCGTTTAAGCCACCCTTCAACGAACCTTGCTTCGTGAACTCTGGAGAACGAGTGTCCTTGCAATGATCCCAGTGGTTGACAATGGTGCGATGCTGGGGACCGCAGATTAGTAGGGAAGAATTAATGAACTTTGTCAGGGGGCGTGCGCCCTGGATACTTTGAGCATCTTTGAGCATAGTTTCAGCCTTTGGCGATGCCATGTGTCAAATGGATTCTTAAATATACCTATCATTACCTATCTGTAGGCTCCACAGATTGTGAGGAAAGTGATTCACTACTATGCTGATGACGACCTATGTTCTATTTTTGGGAACCCCTAGGGTATCTTGTAGATTCGTCAGCTGCCAGCTGTAATCCTTGTGGAGGGGGCCACCTGTTATCTGAAGCATGAGTATCCTATATAGTAACCCTGGGTTTTGTAGCTGATACCGCACTGGTCGACCATCAATTCAGTATAGCTTCATCGACTTGAGTCAGAATGTTTGGGGTCACAAAGAGACACAACAAATTGGAGGTCCAATATATCACTTGCCAGTTTGCCCTTGTTTAAACAAATCCTGCCATTGAGGTGTGGATTTCATACTGGCATGGTGTTTGGTTAACACTTCCATTTTATATCATTGTATACAGGTCAACTGTTCGCTGTGGGATGATCCGTGGCAAATCGAAAAAATACCCGTTCCTTTTTAGCTGGGAATTCTCCCCAATTTTCCAATTATATCCCATTAAATCCACATTTTCCCTACTCAAATCCCCATTTTCCCTCGTTAAATCCACATTTTCCCTGGTTAAATCCCAATTTTCCAGACTGACTCTCCCATTAAACCACCATCCTCCAGGACTCCCGTCTCGGCTCCCCAGGCTCCTTCCCGGGCATCGTCTGGATCTCTTCAACCTTCAGACCCTCATAGATGCAGGCCCATGACAGGGCCCTGGCCGCACCAAGGCACCAAGGGATGACGACTCATCTCACCTTAAGATAGGTTTTTTGAGTTTGTTGGGATGATTTGAAACAAACACTTCTTTTTTTCTACTTACCCATGATATCAAAAATGAAATCCCCATATATATATATATGTTTCTTATATCCCCATAGTTCAAACATGTTCAAACCAAGTTATAATGACGATGATTTAAAGACCTGCGCCCAGTTCGGTGACCAATGATAGCTGGTTACAACGCCATGTGTTAAATGTTGGGTTATTGGGGATCACGAAGCAAATTGGTTGTAATTCAATATACACTGGGGTAAACACAGATGTGGACACCCATGATTTCCCTAGGAAGACTATCTAGACATGCTGTTTTTTTTTCAAAGGCCTAGTTTACCCCGTGGATCCTTGTGGGAAAAATGTTCAAATTACCTCCTCAATGGTAAAGATTTAAATGGTCATTTTTTTTCAATGAAGTGATATCCAAATCGCCGTTCATCCGAAAAAAACAAAACATGTGATCACGTGATCCTTAAATACATAGTTCAGCGTTCCAATGAAAAACACACTTACCTTCCTTACGAGATGAGTGATATCAACAGGGCCTAGCTAGGGCCATTCTTGAGCCATTTTTACAGAGTGGAGCCACGGAAAACATCTCCAGCACAAACCTGGACCTCGCTGGAAAAACGAGGCTTTTCGCAGGTGAGAAGGATCCATATTTAACCCAAGTTAACCATATTTATGGTACCTGGAGCCCTAGCCAGTGACATTGGGAGATCAATGAGTAACATACTATTCAGTTGCTACTATTTCGGGATTTTACGCATGATCAATGAGCATCACTGGGAAAAAAATGGACAGGGGCCCATGATAAATGGGGAGAACGCCAAACTTGGTCACTGCTTGTGCAGAGGTCCAGAGGGATTTTCAACCCCAGCCGGTGCAAAAAAGTTGGACCCCTGGATTTTCTTTTCGGGGGTGAGTTTTATCATCGAAGTACCCTGGTATTTCACAAAAAAAAACCGTGAAATATCATCGAACTTCTACCATCCTAATATGTCACCATTAAACTCGGCCATTTTTTTGGGGTATTCAACTGCGGTGGCTAAAGGTGATCAGCTCCCCAAATCACTGGGGCGCCTGCAGGGCTGAGAGATGGGCATCGTGTAGATCTTCATGGTTTCGCAATTTTGAAATGAGTGTTGCTGTGGCAGTGAGTTTCAAACGCAGCATCTATAGGTCCTAAAAAAAAGGTAGACTTTCGGGAAATCATAGTCACACCTTACATGTACACTTTCGGGAAATCATAGTTAGATATAGTCTATATCATATAGTTACATCATGTCTTTGCTTTTGAGCCAGTAAACTGATCATGGTGCATCTGTCATCCCTATTGTGTTACAACTGAGAGCCGCCCATGCCGCCCACGGGAAGAAGTTGTGCTCTGAGGCTATAAGATCCCTGGTTGTTGGTTGAGTAAAACATGTAGGACTTCAGATCATGATAGTTATGACATATACCACTTACTGGTGCTAAACGTAGGTAATGGATGGGTTGCTGGGGGTTGTTGGGATGATGAAATTACTAGTGATGACTGGGATCATTCCCGAAAGTTCCCTGCGTTTAGCAGCAGTAAGTAGTTGTGACATATACCACCCGACTGGTAACAAATTCGGACCATCATCACTATTTTCAAGTTAACGATGAAACATCATTGAAACCACCAGTACGGCTGAAGATATAAAATACCACAAGATCCACAAGGTGGTCATCATTTTCCGTAGTAAAAAAATGCAAGTGTACGCCCAAACTGGGTGTCTACTTAAGGATCTGCATCCCACGCATCGGAAGTGGCAAAAAAAACACTCTATAGCTTATGTAAACCCTATATAACCAATATATCACATCACTTACTATCCACTTATTACATCACTTACCCTCTGGTAATCTAACATAGCTATGGAAAATGGACCATTGATGATTTAGCTATTGAGAGGCTGATTTTCCATAGCTATATATGTAAACGTTTACCAGAGGGTATAGCTAATTATCCACTTACTCACCGGAACTGCGCCCCCAAGTTTCCATCATTTCACACACCACCTTGGCCGCCGAACACTGGAGGCGCCAGTGCTTGTTTCTGCAGGCAACCTCGGTTTATGATGCAACCGATGCAAAAATGGAATGCACACGTTCGTGTGGCAACAAAGAATGGTAAAGAATGGTAACGAATGGTAAATGTTCATAGAATGTCCCGATATTCATATTGATTACTTACTGATCTAATCTGGTCATATCTGTTCTATCTCTTTGCGGTTGCCATCTGACTTTTCAAGAATATATGGTTATGTTGAGTGTTGAGGATGCACTTTCATGCTCATTTCAGATTCTTGAGGACATGGATGAAGTCAAGGCCTAAGATGCTAGCTCCAGCTACTAGGAGAACGTAGACTCCAAATCCATTGCTCATGGCTCAAATCGTTTGTTTTATGAGTGTTTAGGGTGGATGGATCTATAGATATCTATAGCTAATCGGTTTATAAACCAACTTTATACAGTTGGGGGCTGAAGTCACAGCAATTTTCTGCGATGTGGTCAATTCCCTTGCGGAAAAGTCGCTACGACCCCGTCACAGCAGGGTCACAGCAATAGATCAAAATAGCATGTAATAAGCTGTATTTAGTTGATGTTTCAAATCGTGTAAACATGCCTAATCCCTGCAAGGAGCACACTTTTCCCAGCGACACCTCTGCGCTTTCTAGATCTGAATCTTCACATACCGCTGAGAGCGGTTGTATTTCCACGCATTTGCCCAAGCCTGCCTGCCTTTGGCAGTATCAAGCATTTTCGGAAGGATTACTTCTTTCTGCAACATTTCGGCTAGGGAAGACTGTTTCTTTTTGGTCTTGAGGTTCTGTATGTAGAATCGCTACGACCCCCCCCAAAAGCTTTCCCGCAAGGTATGAAAGCAAAACTGTGAAATCGCTACGACTTTGACCCTTGACTGTAACTGGGTGGCCTGACCTTGTATCATTGGGGTTGGTGTCGGCTCTCTCAACACTTCAGAGCCAGATGCTCTCCCCATTCGGGCCATGAATTGCAGCTCTGGCACGTTCTGCACGTCGATCCTAAAGATCAATGAAACTGTCTCTGTCGCGCTCAAGCTCGGCGGCTCAACACCAACGTTTCCACAGCCAACAGGGGACAGTTCTGCCTCAGCCAAGAGTGTTGGAACCACGTCCACATAGGCTCCGGTGACATGTCCTGTGTCAGACTTGATTGTCGTCTTGTTGTACACCTTTTCTTTCGGAGATGCTCCAAGTCTGACTGATTACCAGCGGCCAAATTGACTTCAGCAGTGGGGTGTACTTTTGAAGAGGATCTGCCACCGACTTCATCTTGCGAATGGGGCAGGTAAGCCAAGCATGGTCAACCTCTCTGTCCCAGTGTCTCGACACTGTCGCCAAGCAATGTTTCCAGGGTGAGGGCAACCCCTATTATTTGGTCGCTCAAACAATCCTCAGGTCAATTCCAGATGCAAGATCCAGGAATTCATTTGGTTCCGCTCTCATCTGTTCCATGGTCAAAACATAGTATATGACTTATATATCCGCCGAGGCGTCACTTTTCTCCGCGCGGGCGGCTGCTCTTGCGAGCTGACGGCTGCTCTTGGCATTTTTCTTAGACTTAGACCGTTCAGAAAGCGACGTTAGGCCTTCAGACCGGGCAGCAAAGAATCCTTTTTTCCGAGCTGGCGCCTGCTCTTGGCATTCTTCTTAGACCGTTCAGAAAGCAACGTTCGGCCTTCAGACCGGGCAGCTGCGCAAAGCCTTCCGTCCTTCACCGCCACGGAAACACAAGCGGCTGCATCAAGAACACACCTGCAGGAAGCCATCCAAACACATCTTCAAACAACATACGATTTGGGATGCTAATGTTTCAGATTGCCCGCTTAGATTACATGTTTACAAACATTTGACATTTTGTCTTTTAATGTCTCTGCGGTATCCCTTGAACACGCTCTCTCATTATATCTCACAAGTTGGTCTTCTGACAACAGGGGTCGGCGGCACTGAGCGGCAGCCCTTTAATAATAAATATATATATATGCTTAATTATAGATGATCATTCCATCATTGTTCAGAATCCTTTGGCCATGACAATGCCCTGCTGGTGATATGACCATCCCCCAATATGGACCATCCGAGGCCCCCAACGAAGCACTTGCAGCACCTTGGAGACTGATAGATGTTGCCTAGAAGTGATAAATGGTTCGTTCATCACCAAAACTGTTTGGGGACAATTTGCGCTCCGTATATTCCCCTAGATTTGTGGTTAAACGCCATGATTTCTGTAAATATGTTCTTCAACCAATCCATTGATTTGTGGATCAGTTCCTACACCGTCAGACCTCCCAGTTTTAAGTTGGTTTAGTTTCACCCATGCAAGTGTAAGCATACTAGAAATCCAACGGTTATTGCACTTAAATATCTTGCAATGATCCATAAACGAATATCCTGTACACATCCATCATAACAAATGGATACAGGAATGACCTGGTCGGGATCAAAAACGTATCGCGCGCAAGGGGATACTTCTCAATCCTTTGGGGTATATGTCATATCCCTCCTTTTTCGGCATCGATTTCAATACACATGAAACATGTCAACTGCGTCTATTGTTTATCAGCCGGGCGAGACATCGCGGGGCGAAACATTCACGGCTCATCCCCAAGATTTGATGAAACCATGAAAGAAATCACTCGACCGACCGATGGCGTCAAAAACAACGCCAATCCCATGACGGATCCATGGCTGGTATATTGATTTATGGATTTGCTATGGATTTATGGATCCATTTTCAGTAATCCCAATTTATGTATATGCTAACATAAAGGGGGTATATTGATGGGATCCATGTCCATGGTGCTGCCATTTTTTTGGTGCTCCATGGATCCCATCAATATACCCCAGTCATGTTACCATATACAGCAGCACCATGGATCCGTCATGGGAATTGAGCCAAGTCCACTTCCGGGATGGGTGGCAATCTCCACGGGCATCTTCTCATGGAACATGGGATATAAATCAAATATATATATATATATAATGGTACCAATATAATTTGGCTTCCAATGAAATATGGAAATTGAATTTGATGATATGGCAAACATTCTGTAAAACATACCCTCTGGTAATGACTAACATAGCTATTGAAAATGGTGATTTATAGATATTTATAGTGGAATTACATGGATTTACCCATTGATAGCATGGTGGATCTTTCCATAGTTTTTTGTATGTTTACCAGAGGGTAAATGATTGGACATGGCCATTGAGATCATTTAGTTCGTTGATTTACCTCTCCCGACTTGGCACCTGCTGGAGTCTCATCCTCACCGCGTACCTGGATGAGATGGGAGGATTGCTCCATGGATCCAAAGGTTGACTGTTCATCTAGGAAAAAATACAGAAATAAGGTATATGTTACAACCACCATTGATGTTCTCGGTATATGGTTTCTGTAAGAACATGGAAACTTGGAAACACGTCTGAATAGCTTAAGGTATCCCACAGTTAAATAACACATATATATATAATTTATATTCCCTATATGTTTAATATATTCCCTAATTTTTTAACACATATATATCCCAGAGTTAAATAACACAGGTAAGGAATCTATTGTTAAATAACACAGTTAAATATTCCCTATAGATTCCCGATTTCGAAGCCAAATCATGGGGGTACCCCAATAGCTCGCTGGTTGGTTTATTTCATGGCAAATCCCAAGCTGACATGGATGATAACTAGGGGTACCCCCATGGTACCCCCCATGACTATGGAAACCTTCAGTTGACCAGATTTGACCAGCTTCTGTGAATTTTTTCCATCTTGGACCAATGATTTTTTACGAAAGACTCGCCTTGTGGGTCAAAACTTTCACCCTGGGGGGCCTGCAGTTTTGATTCGGATTGACTTGGGATGTTCGTCTGAAATGGGGTACAGCCAACCAAAGGTTCCATGTTAAAGTATGTAAAACAAAATATAGCCACAAATTGGGGTTTCCCCAATACCAATCACACCCTAATATATAATCATGATTGGTGAAAACTATCCCATCATACCCCCATTCAATCCCATTGCACCATATTAAAATACATTCAATCCCCATTTTTCATGCTGTAACCGCGAAGTTACCTCC